ATATAATGACATCCAATCTATCTACACCTGCAAGAATCTTATCATCTGGCTTACCAAATAGCTTACCAACAGGGAAAGAACATGCAGGTCACAGAATACAAGGGCCTCATCCCCCCAGCAGTTTTGTTTCTCCTTTTAAATTACTAAATATCCACTCCAGTTTTAAATCTCACATGCTTGGGACTCTATTGCTACAAGACAAATCTAGTCAGTATTCTGATAAATCAGGCTTCTGAACTTGAGTCTGAAGGAAAGTCAAACGGCAAGAAGAAAACATGTATCAAGTGTGTCTCTGAATAGGAAACCTGGTCCTTGGGCTGTTTTATGGGGTTGGTGGTGGTGATGGTAAGGTAGGAAAGGGAAATGATAGGGTGAAATAAACAAAGGGCCAGAGATAGTTTGACTAGTGGGACACAGAGCAACAGGCCAGGCTGAGACTAATAATAAACAGGATATGAGAGGATCTGGATGGAGCTAGAGCAAACCAAGATGGCATACTTGATTTGACTGGGACTTGACCTCTAACTTCATTAAAATCTCATTTACACAGTAAAAGTCACACTCATCAGTGCCATGACAGTTTATTTATAATTGTCATGACAACCCCAGAAGAGCCCTAATAAGGAAAAGCACCCCCTCTTCTAAGAATCTCCCAAGAGAAATCATGACTATTCTGTCCCCATATGCTCATTGTACTTCCAAAAGAGGGGATGGGCTACTCTGCCTAAGGAGTACTCCACTTCACTTTACTGTATAATCTACACCTTCTACCTCTTAATTAAGTCCACCTCACACTGTACCTGGCTTGCATTTGATTTCTATCCTATGTGTAGCCAAGAACACTCCACTGCAGTGGAGCCCCAAGGGCTAGGGCCTCGCACTCCTTCCTGTAACAATGCTGGTAGTAGAAGCTAAAGAATCTTCAGATAAAGGATTTGGGGGTGAGAGAACAGAAGACGTGTGCCTTACTTCTGGGAGGATGCCAGGGAGAAGAAGGAATTACCAAAGCTCCCAATGATCAGTCTGGCGTAGGAGAAGGAACAAGCTATCCTAGCAGGGCTTCTAGTGCCCACCAAGGCATGTGCCCCCAAGAGCACATGGGAGCAGCTAAGAGAGTCAGCAAACCTGTGAGAACTTTGTGACCAGGATGATGAAAATGCACCAGTGACCTGTGTTAATGGATGACCAGATACCACATCAGATGGGACTGCATAAAGATACCTTAGCATAAAGATGATTCCATTGCTCACCCCCTGTCAACATCAACTTAGATGTCAGCCTACCAAATTGAAAGCTCAAATTAAAATCAAGCTCAGTTAAATAAAATTGTACTTTCTGATCACTGAGTTTGTGGCCTGACAGCTGACCAGGCCGAAAATTAACTACCATTGTCCACAACATACTTCAAGAGGAAGAAAGAAGAAAAACTGAAGCAGTCTCCTTCTTAATGCAATGTATGCCCAGAAAAATGCCATAATAATGATACAGTCTCTACGTCACAGCCAAGCTGTTGGCCAAACTTCTGAGTTTTAGGTTAAGTCTAAAACTTCAAAATAAACATCATGCTGAAGTAGTTTTTTTAAACTCTTATAATACTGCATCTTGTTGTTCCTGCCCCGCCCCCATCATGTTATATATAACACAGTTTATAGCTCATACACATTTTAGCTCATTATAAGAGCCTGAGAACTTACGGAATATCCATTCTGAACCAGACTGCCAGACACTAAATAGGTGACATGCAGTTGGGCTCCTGAATTTTCCTTTCGCTTCCTTTCAACATAATCATACAGCATCCTGTTCCAAACAAAAGGCACATGTCATTAGTAAGTTTTTACCTCATTAACTCTTAATTTGTGACTTAAAAGTTAGATATGTTAAATCTGACAGTCCATCAAATTTTCTACATAATATTTTTGCTCAGTCCCATGGACAGAGAGTTAAAAAAAGATGATTTTAGATGAGATACAGGGGTTGGGGTCAACCTGGACTGAGCTGACATGGTGGCTTTGCAACTGAAATAAAAGAAATCTAATAATAAACCAAGAGGGACTGAATCTGCATTAAAACAGTGGCAATGACATATATTGGAAATAACAATGAATCAAGAATAAGTTCAGCCACTTTCTAGCTATGTGATCCTGGATAAGTTAATTAATTTGTCCAGGACTCTTAGTATCCTGAGGTATAAAATGGGAGGGCAGTAACAGATCAGTGATTCTCTTAAGTTGGGATTCATGCAGCCATCTATAACCATGCATCCCCCAAATTACAATCAAAATGTGTGTGTGTGTTTTGGCAGGAGACAGTCCAGGGTTTTCAACAAATTCTCAAAGGATTACTCCGAAACATGAAGAACCACTAGTAGACGATCACAAATATCCACCTCTGAAACTCTAATTGTATATTTATCATATTCAGCACTGTTTTGAACTGCAAAATATAACAGCTTACTCACACTGTCCAGTATTTAGAATATTCTTTAACCTGAAATTGTCAAACACTAAACATAGAAGTAATGCTGATTCTAGTAATACCCCCAAATTCATGTTTATCCTAATGATCCAGCATGTATCAGAAGTTGGCTCCCCTCTTAGTTTAAAAAAAAAATCAAGGGGGACATAACATTTGTGTCTTTTATTTCAAGAAACATTTACTAGGCCTCTATAACATGTCATACTCCTTCCAAAGACAGCTAAAAACTCAAAATTCCAAGGGAAACTCAGCCTACACTGTTGATCACTCTTTTCTTGAAGCATCTGCTCTCTTAGCATCTATGATCCCATGCCCCACTGAGTCTCCTACTCCTCTGACGGCCTCTGCTTCATTTCCTGCACAGAACTGACTACCTCCGCCTTTTCCACACTGCTGGGGTTCTGTCTTCAGCTACCTTTCACTCTATAAAGTACAGTGACCAACCATCTGGTTTGTCCACGTCTGAGGGATTTCCTGAGACACGGACTTTTAGTGCTAAAACCAAGGCATACATTACTATATATTCTCTTTGGTCTATTTCACTCATCCCATGACTTCACTTATTCCTCCTGATAACAACTTCATCTGTTCAAACTATCCAAGCCAGGTATCTGGGAGTCATTATCCTTTACTTCTCCCTATCCAGTGAGTTGCCAAATCTCATCAGTTCTTCCTCCCAAGTAATTCTTGACTCCATGCCCTTCAAATCTCTTAACTGGACTATTTCAATTAAAAATGTCAATTCATTTATCTACAAAGCTGCCATGGTCAAGTTTTAAAAATGCAAATCAAGTAAACAAAACTTTACTGAGTGGTTACTTTATATTCTATACCAGTGAACAAAGCAAAGTTCCTGCGCTTTTAAAGCATACATTGTAGAAAAGAAAGACAAAACATCCAAGTATATATGTCAGATGGTAGTAAATCTATGAGAAAAAAAAACAAATGTAAGGAGAACAGAAAGTGCCAGAGAAGTTTTGCTATTTTTATATGAGGTGATTAGGGAAGGCCTCATAAGCAGCACCCTGCAGGAAATGAGGGAGCCAGCAGTGTGCTTATCTTGGGGAAGAATGTTCCAGGCAGAGAGAACACTAACACAAAAGTTCTGAGGCAAGAATAAGTAAGCAATGTCCAAGGAACAGAAAACAGGCAAGTGTGGAAGAAGAAGAGTGGTAGGGGAGAGAGAGCCAGACATGCAAGGCTTGTATGGACCTATGTAAGACTTTAAGCAAGGAGTTATTAGAAGGTTTAGAGTAGAAATAATATAATCTCACCTTTTAGAAGCACTCCTGACAGTATAATGTGGAGAATATACTGTCAAGAGGCAAGGGAAGAAACAGAGACCAGTTAAGAGGCTACTGCAGTGATCCAGGCTAGAGATGATGGTGGTTAAGACTAGGGCATTAGCAACAGAGGTAGTAATTAGTGGATGAATGCTGGGTATATTTAAAGGCAGAAACAACAGGATTTACTTATGATTGTGGAGTATGAGAGAAAGAGGAGTCAAGGATGACTGGACTAAGCAACTGAAAGAATGAAGTTGTATTTCACTGATACGGGAAAAAGCAAGAGAATTTTCTTTCGCAGAATTTTTACAACCTAAAATTATATTGCTTAAATAAATGATACGATGGACATTGTCTGTCAGGTTTGCTGTTTTACAACAGAGCCTATGAATAAGCACTGGAAAAATAACTTTTTTAATGAATCCAAGCAAATCAGCAACCACCTCACCCAGTCACTGACCTCAGTACCAACAGTGATATTTTAAATGCTTCCCGTATAGGTTAAATTTAAAAAGATGGGGACACTCACCAGATATAAACCCACACATATAAGGCCAATTAATATACGATAAAGGAGCCATGGATATATAATAAGGAATTGACAGCCTCTTCAACAACTGGTGTTGGCAAAACTGGACAGCTACACACAAGGGAATAAAACTAGATTACTGTCTAACTCCATACACAAAAGTAAACTCAATATGGATCAAAGACCTGAATGTAAGTCATGAAACCATGAAACTCTTAGAAGAAAACATAGGCAAAAATCTCTTGAATATAAACATGATCAACTTTTTACTGAACACATCTCCTCAGGCAAGGGAAACAAAAGCAAAAATGAACAAATGGGACTATATCAAACTAAGAAGCTTCTGTACAGCAAAAGACACCATCAGTAGAACAAAAAGGCACCCTGCATGGGAGAATATATTTGTAAACAACATATCCGACAAAGGGTTAACATCCAAAATACATAAAGAATTCACGTGCTTCAACACCCAAAAAGCAAATAACCCGATTAAAAAATGGGCAGAGCATCTGAACAGACACTTCTCCAAGAAGAGATTCCATGGCCAATAGGCACATGAAAAGATGCTCCACATCGCTAATCATCAGAGAAATGCAAATTAAAACCACAATGAGATATTACCTCACACCAGTTAGGATGGCCAATATCCAAAAGACAAGGAAAACAACAAATGCTGGTGAGGATGCGGAGAAAGGGGACCCCTCCTACACTGTTGGTGGGAATGTAAACTACTTCAACCATTGTGGAAAGCAATATGGAGGTTTCTCAAAAAACTAAAACTAGAAATACCATTTGACCCAGGAATTCCACTCCTAGGAATCTACCCAAAGAAAATAAGATCACAGATTCAAAAAGACATATGTACCCCTATGTTTATTGCAGCACTACTTACAATAGCAAAGATATGGAAGAAATCCAAGTGTCCATCAGTAGATGAATGGGTAAAGAAGAGGTGGCACATATACACAATGGAATATTATTCAGCCATCAGAAGAAAACAAATTGTACCATTTGCAACAACAACATGGATTGAACTGGAGGGGTATTATGCTCAGTGAAATAAGCCAGGTAGAGAAAGACAAGTACCAAGTGATTTCCCTCATTTGTGGAGTATAACAAAGCAAAACTGAAGGAACAAAATAGCAACAGACTTCCAGATTCCAAGAAGGCACTACTGGTTACCAAAGGGGAGGGGTGGGGGAGGGTGAATGGGTAGGGAGGGAGAAGGGGATTGAAGGGCATTATGATTGGCACACATGGTGTGTGTGTGGGGGTCACATCCTCTCATACTCTCCCCTTCAATCTAGGAGGGCTACTGATTCATTTTAACCAGAAGAATGAAACAGACATGACACTGCTTGACTCCTGAGGCTAGTGAGAAAAGGCAATCAGCTTTTGCCTTGTGTTAAAGTCCTGAACTTCTCGTGTAAGAAGTTTGACTATGTAGAGACACCATGCTCTGAAGAAGCCCAAGCACATGGGAAGATCACGTGCAAAGTCTGGTCAACAACCCCAGCTGAAGTCCCTGCTTATGGCCAGCATCAACTTCCACACATATGCTTACAGCTACCTACAGATGATCAATCTCCAGCTGTTGAGGCTCCCAGCTGAGACATCAGACATCATGGAACAGAAATAAATCATTCTCACTGTGCCCTGCTCAAATTCCAAACCAAAAGAATCTATTAGCATAATAATATGGTTGTTTCAAGCTGCTAAATTTTGGGAAAATTTGTTACACAGTGATGAACTTGATGAAAGTGTTCCCTGCCTTCACGAAGCTTATATTCTAGAGCAGGGGAAGTTATACAATAAGCAAGAATGTGTCAGATAGCAATAAGAATTATAAAATGCTGGAACTGAATATCTGAATGCAACAACTGAAGTTGTACCTTTTCCTTACACCTATATAAAATGATATTCCTGGGAGATACAGTGGCTATTTACACATTTAAGTGCTCCATTTAAAATTAGCTTGAACCAACACCTAATTTGAAAACCATAGTGTATTCTTACTGTGAGGACTGAAACATGTTTAATATGTTAACAAGCATATGATACATAGAAACTTTAAATATAGTAGTAATTACTGATAATATTATTGATAGCTAAAAGTACAAAACTCTCAGAAGAAAACAAATCTTCATGACCTTGGGTTAGGTAAAATCTTCTTAGGTTTCATGTAAAAAGCACAACAATAGATAGCTAACATTGCAAATGGAAACTCATCCCATGCTCTTGGCTAGGAAGAATATTTTCAAAATGGCCATCCTGCCCAAAGCAATCTACAGATTCAACACAATCCCTATCAAATTATCAACAGCATTCTTCAACGAACTGGAACAAATAGTTCAAAAATTCATATGGAAACACCAAAGACCCCAAATAGCCAAAGCAATCCTGAGAAGGAAGAATAAGTGGGCGGGATCTTGCTCCCCAACTTCAAGCTCTACTACAAAGCCACAATAATCAAAACAATTTGGTACTGGCACAAGATAGCTAACATTGGGCTTCATCAACAATTAAAAACATCTTCTGTTTCAAAGGGCACTATCGAGAAGGTGGAAAGACAACACAAAAGGGAGAATATTTTTGCAAACTGTATGTCTGATCAGGGTCTTATATCCAGAATAGATAAAGAACTCATACCACTCAACAATAAAAAGACAAATACCCAAGGAAAAAAAATAGGTAAATGATCTTAATATATAAATATTTCTCCAAGATGTACAAAGGGTTAATAAGCACATGAAAACCCTAATGATAGCACTTCACACCCCCTAGAATGGCTCAAATAAAAAAGATAATAATAGTTGACAAGAATGTGGAAAAATGGGAACCTTCGTACCTTGCTGGTGTGGGATTTAAAATAGTGTAGCCACATTGAAGAACAGCTTGTCAGTTCCTCAAAATATCCAAGGCAACTGAAAACACATGTCCACCCAAAAACCTGTAAATGAATATTCATAGTAGCCTTATTCATAATACTCAAAATGTAGAAACAGCCTAAATGTCCATCAGCTGATGAATGGATAAAAAAAATGTGGCTTTTCTTATATATTACAGGTTGAATTATATTCCTCCAAAAAGTTATGTTGAAGCCCTAACCACCAGTACCTCAGAGTGTGACCTTACTTAGACACAGGCCCACTGCAGCTGTCATTAGTTAAAATAAGGTCATACTGGAGTAGGGTGGACTCCTAATCCAATATGACTGATATCCTTATAAGACGGCTATGTTAAGATAGAGACACTAAGAGAATGCATGTGACAAAAAGGCAGACCACAGTAATACAGCTATGAGCCAAGGAACACCAAACACTGCCAACTAACCACCTAGAATCTACGAAGGAGCAAGGAAGAACTCTTCTCTACAGGTTTCAGAGGGAGAATGGCCCTGTTGACATCTAATTTCAGATTCTAGCTTCCAGAACTGTGAGACCATAAATTTCTGCTGTTTTAAGCCACCCAGTTTGTAGTATTCTATTATGACAGCTCTAGGAAACTAATACACCATATGATAGGGTATTAATCAGTCAAAAAAAGGAATGAAGTACTGATAAATACTACAACATGGACAAACCTTGAAAACATGCTAAATAAAAGAAACCAGACACACAAGATTACCTATCCTATGAAACGTCCAGGATAGGCAAATCTATAAACAAAGAGTACTTTAGTGGTTGCCTAATCCTGGGGCTGGGGGTGGGGGACAGGACAGGGGTAAAATGGTGAGTGACTAATGGATACAGGGATTCTTTTCAGGGTGATAAGAAATGTTCTAAAATTAATTGTAGTGATGGCTGCACAACTCTGAATATACTGAAAATCAATGACTTGTACATTTCCAATGGGTGAATTGTATGGTATATTATTTATATCTCAGTAAAGCTATTTTTTAAAAAAGAATTATGAGAGAAATTTACAGGATCATATGACAGAGAGTTAGGGAGGGGTGGGGCAACCTCAAATAGAGCATTAGAGAAGCGATGCTATAAGAACACATGAAATTTGAGCTGAAACCTGAAGGATGAGGACAGCTGGCAGAAGAGCATTCCAGGCAGAGGCAAAGGTGCAAAGGTCCAAGGGTGAGAATGGGCTTGGTGCACTGGACACACAGACAGGCAAACACAGGGAGCATATAAGCGAGGGAGAGAGTGGTATGGGATGAAGTTGGAAGACAAGGGGCTAGACAGTGTGTTAGTCATATAAAAATTATAGGTAGTAAAGAGAGCTACAGTAAAATTGCGGGCAACTTCACTTCATCTGCCATCCTCAATACGTACTTTTAAGCCCCAACAGCCTTTAGTAGTAGTTAACTCATTTCCTATTTGAACATGATTCAGCACAATAAATAATTACTCTTATAGGTGTCCATTCCCAAAGTCACCTGAACCTTTTGTGTTTGGGCTAGGACTTGTCTTAGCAACAGTAATCTCAGATAGCCAAAATCAGTCCAAAGCCATCCCTGGGCCAAGAGTTTCAGGTCTTGAAGGCATAAACATCACAGTCAAAATCAGACTCCTAGACCTGTCAAACAGCAACCCAAATGAAACCAAATCAACCCATTCCAGAGATTGGGGATAGTTTCTAAGACTAATGGAATGTTCCCATGACCCAAGGAATGGAGGAAAAACAGACCACTTTTAGGAATAAAAGAAACTAAATGAATATTTAACTCAATATATGTGCCCTCAGCCTGTTCACCAATTCCTTCCCTTGGGATATAGAAAACATCAGTACACCTGAAGGTCAAGAAATTCTGGAGTTAATTCATATGCTTGCCTTTTCCCTTTGGGCCTCAAGTTCGGTTTCAGCAAGGGAAGGTGATACGGCAAAATTCAAAAAGGGCAATGCTCTGTGCCATCCTAAGCAATCCCTGTTTTAGTTTCACTCAAATAGTTCTCCCATCTTATACTGTAACACAGCTTGTGTCAAACACCTGTTGACCTCATTACGGAAGTTATTTCAGTAACACCTAGAAATGGGGCTAAGTAGCATGTGTGAAAATGTAATGAAGATATAACAGACAAATGGGGTATGTGGTGGGGACTTGGTAATGGGGGGAATCTAGTAACCATAATGTTGCTCATGTAATTGTACATTAATGATACCAAAATTCTAAAAAAATAAAAAAATAAAAAAGATTTAACAGATGTGTAAATCTCAGATGTAAACAGAATTGGCTAGCCCATTTAATAAGTTTGAAATAACATATCATGTTAACCATAGGGCAAGGCTACAAATAAATTCAGCAAACGTATCACCACACACTTGTATACAAGTCCATCTACCTCCTAAATAATAGACAGAAGTAGTACAATATAGTAAAAATAATATTCTTTCCCATTTTTTCAGGGGTAAAAAAAGTTCTAACCTAGCAAAACCCAAAACTCCAATCTGATTAAAATTAGTAGGAAACTGGACTTACTGTTTGGCCTGGTTAACATGAACCCCTAGTGTAAAGCTCAGCCATTTGTACGTCACCTGCAAGAAGAAGAAACTTTTTAAACGTTTTATTAGATAATTCCAGAATGAAGGCGTGTTCCAGGGTCCCTAAAGATTTCTACTTTTAAATGATTACATCCTAACAATAGTTGCCAGCCCACTTTTGCCAAGAACCATCCACCTGGACAGGTAGGAGTGAAATATTTATCTTCAAATACTAACAGGTTTGTTCCATAGACCAATTTATGCAGAGTCTAAAAAGAAAGGCTGAATGAATATAGAAAAAGCTCTCGTTTTCCTCACAGTCCATGTTTTACTAAAGCCCCTTTTTCACATTCTGCCACCACTGAAAACTCTTAAAATTCACCAGAAGCTAGATTACTTTGAAGCGTATGACTCAGAAATTTCTAAGGAAAGTTGCAGCCATAGCAACAAACATTAAAGGGCACAGGTGATGCAGGGACTGGAGTGAATTCTATCAGAGGTTAGACTGGGAACTACTAGCATCAAGCCTTGGCCATCCTTCCATCCTTCTTTGAACTGTCCTGTCATTTGTCACTTCCTTGTTTGTCACTCTCCTCTCAAAGCCTTCCAATTCTAAATGCTGAGTTTCCACTAATTAGAAGACTTACATAGATTAGGCAAACCCAGCACGATGAGGAAGAAATCATTAGCAAAAGAGACAGCCCTAGGTTGAAAAAAATGCCTATCGCTAATTAACCACAAACTAAAAAGTTATTTGGCTCCTCTGCTTCAACTTCCTTTTGCAGGGATACTTCAACAACCTCTGGGTCGGTCGCTGTAAACCTTAAATGCAATAATGTGTATCCCAAGCTCACAATCATATAATCATCACGATTTATATGCAAAGTCCATTCACATCCATGGTCTCATCTGATTTTTTACGGAAACCCTGTGGGGCAAGTGGAGCCTGTATGAATACTAAATTTCCAGGAAGATGAATGCGACTGTCGGAAGGTTCAACAACTTGTCACTTAACCCGGTTAAGACACAATTTCCTCAACTGTAAAGCCGGGTCTTTAATCACTAACCACCTCATCAGACAGGTGTAGAGATGCCTCGGAAGCTTATCAACCAATGCCCCTCCCTTCACGCCTGACTTCCGTGGCCTCTGGTCCGTGCAGTGCCCAGCACGCCCACCCAAGCGACGCAGACTGTTTCGCGCGTCAGAGGAATCCCCCCGGCGAGTCCTCGCTCGCCCTGAGGCACGAGGCGTGGGGACCGGTCTTCTCTGGGCCTGTTCCCACGAGACCGCAAGCAGAGTTAAAGCCCCCGCCTCCCTCGCCGCCCTGGCTGGGCCCAGGACCCTTGCCGCACAGCCAGTCCCCAGTCCTGGCTCCTCACGATCTTGTTCTGGTCCGTGACGAACTCGTCTATGTTTTCCAAATAAAGCTGGTCAGCCATGGTGCTTCGGCGTTGGGCTCCGCCGCCTTTGAGCTGCTCCAGCCGCCACAACCGCAGCTCCCGCCGGCGGGAAACGTCTTTCCTCCCTCACAGGTCTCGGGCCGTTTCCCACGGCAACAAAGGCGACGCACTACGGCGGCCGTCGGGGGGCCAAACTAGTTTCGGAGGCAGCGCAGGCTGAAGTAAGGCGGAGCTACTAAGAATAGACGGAAGTGAGGGACTAGGAGCAGGGGCGTGGTCTGCAAGGGCGGTTTGCGGAGCTCAGGTTTCAAGGGTCACGTCTGCTCCGAGTAAAACACCTCACCCTTAGGATCCACAGTGAAATGGTAAAATCATCCTTGCCCTCTCATCTTTATTCAACAAATATTTATCAAGATTCTATTCCAGGCACTTCTTAGGTACTAGGGACACAGCAGTGAATAAAGATGGAAATAAACCAGTAATTTTAGTAGAGTGATCCCATCTGGAATTAAGTACTGCGTATTATAATCTCTCAGAGTTGAGAAATTAGGGACAGTTTTCCAGAGGGAATGGGAGAAGGGGATAATGGCAATTGCAGGACAGGAAAATAATGCATTGTAGCTAGGATGTTGGGAGAAGAAGCCAAGGAGGAGAGGGGATATTTGGAAGAAACCAAACCATGTTGTGCCAAGAAGGCAGTGTGAAGAGACACATGAACTTCATTCTCAAGGAAGAGTTTTCAGGTTGGGGAATTTCAACTAAAATTTCTCCTAACAATTAAAGAACCCTAAATAACTAACGTCAGCATAAACCAGTGTAGTTTAGTATGGTGGCATACCTGAACCTTAAAAAGACACTGTCAGTTATTTTCTCAGCAAAACGGGTTTATTCTGCAATAGCAGAGAATTGCAAATTCAGGACAAGCAAACTACAACAAAACTACAAGTATGTCCGGGGAACAAAGTAGAGGAGTGCTCTGTTATAGAAGAAAGGGGGAGAATTGGGGAATGTTCTAAACAAAAAGTCCATTGGAGGAAACTGGGAGTCGCATGTGTCATGTCTGCTCATTGGCTGTGCTGTAAGTCTCTCATTGGCTGGGGTGTTGCTGAGTTGTTGCTGGAGGAAGAAACTCCTCCCTCTTTCTAGTGGGTGGTTAAGTAGCCAAAATAATAGTAAGTTGTAAGATGTGTCCCTCTTCCTTGCTGTGGGGGCTACAGAGTGGTGGGCATGAGGCCTCTCCCTGCAGGGCTCCTGATGCCATTATCAGTGAAGCATCTAAATTTTCACAAGCTCTGGAGTTAGAGCCTGGATTTGAATTGTGATTTTGTTATTTGCTATGTGAATCCTTAACTTACTTTTCCTTGCAAGCCTATTTCCCCATCTGTAATATGGAAGTAATAATAGTACCCACTGCAAAGTTTTGTTGCAACATGCGTTCACTGAAGACATAGCAAAAGTTTCCTAAGGGCCAGGCACTGTTCTGGGTCCCGGGTCGCTGGGATACAACCATGACCAATTATGCAGGGAGCCTGTTTACAGGCAGCCTACCTTTTCTTGTGAGGATGGATATTTAAGTGAGGAATATTAGCGTCTTAAAATAGGATAATGGTAGTGGAAATTGGGAAAACTGATTGACTTGGGTTTTCTTTTTAGAGTCAACAATACCTGCTGATGAATTAGATTTGTGGAGTGTAGGAAAGACAGGAATCAAGGAAAATACCTACATTCGGAACCTAAATCTTTAAGTAAATGGCAATGCCTTTGACTGCTGAGATGTGAAACAGAAAGAGCACATGAGAAAAATGAAAGAATTCTATTTGGCTAAAGTTATAAACAACATAATACACATAAAACCCTCACACCATGCCTGCACTCGATAAAATCAGTACAGTTGGCTATTACATTACTATCCACCAGGCACACTACCAGGAGCTTCGAGAGCAAGATTTCAGTTAATCCTCATAGCGACCCTGCATATGGATTGCGTTTGTCTGTATTTTATAGACTAGATTGCTGAGGCTTAAGAGAGGAGACAAGGATTTTCCAGGTCACAAGGTTAAGTGGTAGTACTGAGATTGGAACTCAGTTGTCTCGTCCTTACTCCACAGGGGTGGGAAACAAGTCAAGATAACTGACCCAAGAAGAGTCTCAATACTACCCCACACCAAAGGGAGCAATGATAATACTGTATACCGTACTTGCCCCAACATAATCCTAGATATGCCAATATTAAAAGAGTTACATAACTTTTAGCAGTCAAATTAATGGTTACCCTTGGGAGGATGGAAACTGGAAGACTTCGAGAAGAAGGCAATGCTCTGGTTTGGGATCCAAGTGCTGGTCTCATGGGTGCAGTGAGTTTATGAAAATGAATTGAACTGTACATTTCTGATATGTAGAGTTTTCTGTATGTATGCACCAATAAAAATTTTAAGAATAGTGATTGTTTAAGGAATCTTAACTACTGTGCCAACCAGGAAGATTAAAAATAAGTACAGGTATTGGAAAGAATTAGTTTTAGTTTCATCTTAACCAGAAAGATATTCTGGGTGGAAGGGATAATGGATAAAAATAGATCCCAGGCAAGACAGCAATGGGATTATCAAATTAAGACAAGTGATCCTTATCTGGAGTGGAAGTCATGGGACTGGAAAGGAATGACCACAGCTATATCCAGGTGGAGGCAGGCTAGGAGTTGGTCTTCTACCTTAGGGGCAGGGTTGCTGCAGGAGGAAGGGGTGGCTTCTCTGTTTGTGTCTGAGGCCTGCCCAACTTGAACATTCCTACGTCAGGGAAGGGTAGCTAAATAGAAAGCACAGTAGGTTTTGGAAATGTATTTTTCTTTTGAAAAGCAAGCAAACACACAAAATCCTGTGCTTGAATCCCAGTTTTACCACTTCCTAGCTGTGTGGCTCTAGGCAAATCATAGTCCTGAAGTTCATGAAGGGACAATAAAGCAGTGGTTTACTGATAAATGTTTAACAACCAATTTGCTGAATTTAAAAAGCCCTGATTTATAGTGGTTGCCAAACTTGTGCAGTGTAAATACTCCCACCATAGCATATTCGAGCTATCGATAGTGATGTCACCAGATGCAGAGTTAGAGACGCAGTGTCACCATTATTTCCACCATATAAGTATGATAAACAACATCGAGAGCATAGGTGGTAGTAACATGTAGTAAAATAATTAAGAAGTAATGAGATTTGAATATTTCTTTGTTTTTAATATGATTTATTTCATTGTAAATTAACAATTTGATTTTTAGTAATGGCTAACAACTGACTTGCAAACTTTCTGTAACTTTAATATTCAGTGCTCATAAGCAAATACAGGCCACTGTAAATAATTTAAATACTGCGCATAATTGAGGGGATTAAAGTACCATGTTCTGTGCCTGACAGATAGCTAAGTGCTCCATAAATGGTAATTGGTATTATATAACTAACATTTATATATCACTAACTATATGCCAGGCTCTGTTCCAAGTGCTTTACAATTATTAACACATTTAATCTCAATAAGAACCCTAGAAAGTAAGGCTGATATTATCCCTTTTTCAGATGAGTAATGTTAACACAGAGAGGTTAAGCAACTTGCCCAAGGCCACACAGTGGCAGAGCCAGAATTATAACCCAGGCAGTCTGGCTTCAGCATCTATCATCTTAAACACTGTGTTTTTCTGCCTAATTATTAGCTTATAACTGCTTATCGGAAAACTAATAATAAGTTCAATGAACTCCAACATATTTTATTGTAGAACTTTGGAATCTTTGTGCACATAAGTCAAATCAGAATTGTTTTTCAGTGGAGGCCAAGTAACAAATGGTATATACTCAGTATCTACAGGATACAGGAACACAGAGGCAGACAAACAGGAATCAATCTTGGAAGTTTCAGGACAGTGGTTGTGGGTCAGACCTTTGATTAGGTTGAGGGAGGGAACCACAGCTAGCAAATACCAGTAAACAAGACCAGGACTGTGTCCAGAAGACAAGAGTTTATTTTTATAGATCATTTAGTCGTATGGTCAAAAATAAGCCAGTAGAGAGGACCCCTCTGCACTTTAACTCATACAACCCATAGGTGAGAGTCTTTCAGCTCCTGTACATTGCTGGGATGATATAACTATACTAAACACCTCCCATGTTGTGGTGCCTTTTACAGACTCATTTGATCCTCAAACAGTCATGTTCAATTCTATCATCTCTTCACATAAAAGCACCCACAGGTCACAGGGAAAGCAGTATAGCACAGAGAAGACAAGTAGTGACTCTATAGCATCTTACTATGCTGATGGACAGTGACTGCAATGGGGTGTGTGTGTGGGGACTTGATAATATGGGTGAATGTAGTATAAGCTAATTAAAAATTGCTCATGTGAAACCTTCATAAGATTGTATATCAATGATTCCTTAATAAAAATAAAAAACTTAAAAAAATAAAATAAAAAGGCACCCACATATGAAATCAATTTTATGTTAATTGCAAGAGTGAATGGGAAACAATTGCATATAGGTTCCAAGGCAAGGTTTGCTTAAACTGACAACTAAGTAGGATTTTAAAGTTGTTCTCATTCCAGTAACTGTGACAACCCCACCAGCATCTAATAGGTTCTCAATAAATGTTTATGGGCTCAAGTTCAATTACACTGAAGGCAGTGAGATGTGAGAGGGAGAAAAACTGGATTAATTTACAAGGAGACTTGAAATATCATTCACTATTACATCTCATTCACTGAGTGTGTAAAGTGTGCAAGCACCATTCTAGGTCTTTTACTTGAATGTTCTCTTTTAGTCTTCCAAACAAGTCTATAAACTGTAAAGTCAGTAAATATTACTACTCACCTACTGCTCCCCCTATTTTATAGATAAGGAAACTTGAGCTCAAAAAGGTTAAGTAACTTGCCCCAAACCATACAGGTAGGAAGTGGTGGAGACAGGTTTCATCCCAGGTGTGCCGAAGGCCATGCTCAAACCCTGCTGTCATTAGAGGAGAGCATTTGGCTGATTTTTAGTCTCTTCTAAGAGGCTCTTGTCGTTTTTTCCCTTATACATGTTTGAATGTTTATGAGACCATATAATTGTTATCAGAAAAAAAATGAACATATTTTCATTAAAAAAAAGGAGGGGGCATTTAACAATGTAAAATTAACTCATTTTCTGATTCCAGGCATCTGTGATGTGTTCCCTATT